GAGGCAAAGTTTTGAAAATGTGTGTAAGCAGTTGGAAAAAACTGTAAAGGTGGAAGAGAGTGCTGTTCATTCACTCCCCCTAATGATTCAGTGTTCCGAAGCGCTCCAATCAGATCACGTATTGCAAATCTTTTGATTCAGATCGGGACTTCGGAGTGGGTTCGCGAATCATTTCACATTCGCAATCCGTGCTCCGAAGTCCTGATCTGAAATGATGGTTCACGAATCATTTCATTTAGATCAGAACTTTGGATCACAAAACATTTAGATCGGAACGTCGAATCCTTTCATTCAGAGTGGGACAAAGTGCATATCGTGAATCATTTGATTCAGTTCGGGGCTTCGGAGTGCGGATTGCGAATTGCAAATAATTTGATTCAGTTCGGGGCTTCGGAGCACATATCATGAATCATTTGATTCAGTTATTGGCTTCAGAGCTCGGAGCGCGAATCGCGAATCATTTGATTCAGTTTGGGGCTTCGGAACGTGTATAGCGGATCTTTTTTCTGATTTTGTTTTAGCCCAAAACATCAAACCATTAAAGGTCCCATATTGTCAAAACTGAAATTTCCTGGCTTTTTTCATTATAACTGAGGTCTAAGGGCTATGTAACTACCATATGAGTTTCAAAACAGTCAATCCACAGACAAATGCACACAGCCTGCATAAAGTAGCTGTGCCTTTTCACGAGCTGTTGTGACTTCTGTAAAAAGGTGACGTCAGAACTACACAGTCACCGCCTTCAGTCGCCACCCGAGCACCCCCCACAGTCCCACTCTCCTTTAGCCAAACCCCCGGACAACATCGCGTCCATGCCATTGCTGAGCAACAACAACACGGAAACATGTAGAGAAAACGCTGTTCAGTCGATGGATGTCAGGAAACTTCATCATTACACAGGCTTCCGAAGTAGGGTTTGGCCGATAGACGATGCCATCATGATTTTTTTTGCCCCCAAGTCCCCCATAAGGAAATATTCCAGAGCCCCCACATGAGACCTTTGACTTCAGAAAAAAAGGACCTTTCCACAAACAGCAACACCAACTTCACACATTACTAACCAGTTAGACTTTATTTCTGGAGTATCTAAAACTGAAGTTCTTTATTGAGAATTAAGGTTTAGATGGGGGTTTTTTTTCAACTTACCGTTTTGGTGAATAGTGTTTGCTTTAGTTGCCTCATG